AGCCCTCTTGTAGAGGTGAAACCGAAGCCTCCTGGAGCCCTCTTGTAGAGGTGAAACCGAAGCCTCCTGGAGCCCTCTTGTAGAGGTGAAACCGAAGCCTCCTGGAGCCCTCTTGTAGAGGTGAAACCGAAGCCTCCTGGAGCCCTCTTGTAGAGGTGAAACCGAAGCCTCCTGGAGCCCTCTTGTAGAGGTGAAACCGAAGCCTCCTGGAGCCCTCTTGTAGAGGTGAAACCGAAGCCTCCTGGAGCCCTCTTGTAGAGGTGAAACCGAAGCCTCCTCCTTGTAGAGGTGGAGCCTCCTGGAGCCCTCTTGTAGAGGTGAAACCGAAGCCTCCTGGAGCCCTCTTGTAGAGGTGAAACCGAAGCCTCCTGGAGCCCTCTTGTAGAGGTGAAACCGAAGCCTCCTGGAGCCCTCTTGTAGAGGTGAAACCGAAGCCTCCTGGAGCCCTCTTGTAGAGGTGAAACCGAAGCCTCCTGGAGCCCTCTTGTAGAGGTGAAACCGAAGCCTCCCTGGAGCCCTCTTGTAGAGGTGAAACCGAAGCTTCCCTGGAGCCCTCTTGTAGAGGTGAAACCGAAGCTTCCCTGAATGGAGCCCTCTTGTAGAGGTGAAACCGAAGCTTCCCTGAATGGAGCCCTCTTGTAGAGGTGAAACCGAAGCTTCCCTGAATGGAGCCCTCCTGTAGAGGTGAAACCGAAGCCTCCTGAGCCCTCTTGTAGAAGTGAAACCGAAGCCTCCTGGAGCCCTCTTGTAGAGATGAAACCGAAGCCTCCTGGAGCCCTCTTGTAGAGGTGAAACCGATGCCTCCTGGAGCCCTCTTGTAGAGGTGAAACCGAAGCCTCCTGGAGCCCTCTTGTAGAGGTGAAACCGAAGCCTCCTGGAGCCCTCTTGTAGAGGTGAAACCGAAGCCTCCTGGAGCCCTCTTGTAGAGGTGAAACCGAAGCCTCCTCGAGTCTCTTGTAGAGGTAAAACCGAAGCCTCCTGGAGCCCTCATGTAGAGGTGAAACCGAAGCCTCCTGGAGCCCTCTTGTAGAGGTGAAACCGAAGCCTCCTGGAGCCCTCTTGTAGAGGTGAAACCGAAGCTTCCTGGAGCTCTCTTGTAGAGGTGAAACCGAAGCTTACTGGAGCCCTATTGTAGAGGTGAACCCGAAGCTTCCCTGGAGCCCTATTGTAGAGGTGAAACCGAAGCTTCCTGGAGCCCTCTTGTAGAGGTGAAACCGAAGCTTCCCTGGAGCCCGTCAGTAGAGGTGAAACCGAAGCTTCCTGGAGCCCTATTGTAAAGTTGAAACCGAAGCTTCCTGGGGCCCTATTGTAGAGGTGAAACCGAAGCTTTTATGGTGCCCTATTGCAGAAGTGAAACCGAAGCTTCCTGGAGCCTTATTGTAGAGGCGAAACCGAAGCTTCCCTGCCGCCTTATTGTAGAAGTGAAGCCGAAGCTTCCTGGAGCCCTGTTGTAGAGGTGAACCCGAAGCTCCCCTGGACTCCTATTGTATAGGTGAAACCGAAGCTTCCCTGGAGCCCTATTGTGGAGGTGAACCGAAGCTTTCCTGAAGTCCTCTTGTAGAGGTGAAACCGAAACTTCCTGGAGGGGGTAAAACCGAAGCTTCCCTGGAGCTCTATTGAAGAGCTGAAACCCAAGCTTCCTGGAGCCCTATTGTTGAAGTGAAACCGAAGCTTCTCTGGAGTCTTATCCCTGGAGCCCTATTGTAGAGGTGAAACCGAAGCTTCCTGAAGCCCTACTGTAGAGCTGAGACTGAAGCTTCCCTGGGGTCTTATTGCGGAGGCGAAGTCGAAGCTTACTGCAGCCCTATTGTAGAGGTGAAACCGAAACTTCCCTGGTGCCTTATTGTCGAGGTGAAACCGAAGCTTCCTGGAGCCTCATTGTAGAGGTGAAACCGAAGTTTCCTGGAGCCCCACTGTAGAAGTGAAACCGAAGCTTCCTGGAGCCCTATTGTAGAGGTGAAACCGGAGCTTCCCCAGGGCTCCGTTACAGAGGTGAAACCGAAGCGTGTCCGAGCCTCGGTGTCTTCGGTGCTCTGCTCCGCTTCTCTGTGGTCTTTCCTGTACGACATGGCAGGTGCAGGCCTGCTGGACTATGCCAGGTCGCCGGTGGTGGTCGTCCTGGGTCCGGGCAGTTTATGCTAGAGATCTCTGTTTGGCTCGGGCCGACGTCGAATCCGAACTTGGCTCTGACGCTCCGTAGGGCTGTTCACTGCTTGAAGCATCGGGGTCTGTGCACTTTTTGCCTGCTTTCTCACGGCAGCCGTCGCTGCTCTGGTCTGTTAGCCGAGCTATACTCTAGGCGCGGTTCACTACGCTCGCCACGATCCGATCCCGTCCCAGACGTGCTCCAGGCGTTTCGCGTACGAGTACACGGGGAGTGGGGCGTCCGTGTGAAAATGCTCTCCGCACATGGCGTGCTGCAGCGCGTAGAAGTTGAACTGCATGCACTCCTTGCCGCCGCGCTGGTACAGGGTGCTGCCCGCATTGCGTTGGACCGTGAAGGCCTCGGCCGTTTGCAAGGCCGCCGCTTGCCAGAGCTCCCGGAAGGACGGGTAGTGGAACCACGCCAAGTGCTCGGAGTTCCACCCCATGTCTTTCATCACCCATGCAAAGGTCAGCTCTCCGGGAACGATTCTCTCCGTGCCGCTCATGCTGCGAAGCCAGCGCCGAAGGCTTTTCTCGGATGGACAGGGGTGCTCTTGCACGAACCTGTGGAGAATCTTCTCCTCTCTGAGCACTTCACGTCGCACTAGTGGATTATTGCACTTGTGCCAGGGATCGGCCACCGCCCAGGGACCTGTCGTGATGGGCTGTCGCGGAGACTGCGGCGGGATGGGGTTCCCGAAGTCCTCCTCGTCGCTGCTGCTTTGAAGCAGGTCCCACTTGGAGTAGTCGATGCCCGACATGCAAGGCGACGGGATCCGAGTGGAGCCTGCGCGTGCTTTCTTGATTGACGCTGAAGCGGCTGCGACATGCACTGTACTCGACAACAGACACAGATGGATGCAGTCGACTTCGGATTTGCTCCTGCAGCCATCACCTGGAACGCATAGTCTATCTTCCTTTTCGTCTGTCGCGTGGCGTGCCGTCGCCGGGGTCGCTTCAGACTCGCTTCCCCTCCGGCAACTGTCTGTCTATGTGTAAAACCCGTCGTTGACGACGTCTTGCATTTGAAGGACGGTGTTCAGTCCTCTGTAAGTGAAAAAGACGACTACGTTCACTAGAGTAGGTCGGAATTGCGTTCGGAAGGCGGCAGGCCTGGCCGAGTAGAAGAAGTGGCTGTCCGATTCTTCCAGCAGGTCGCTCAAAGCCGCGCCCGCGTCCCTTGTCTCTATCGGCCACGCGTTCATCACCAGCACCGCTTCGGCGGGGGAGAACCCTCCGAGCCCGAAGTCGTCCAACCAATAGAGCAGATCCTCGACGGGACCCAAGGTCTCCAGCGGGTCCGAGGGGTCTGGCGGAGCCCAGCCCTTCGTGTACCTGATGCGCACGGGGAGGTCGAAGCCGGGGAAACGCAGACGCATGGTCTTCAAGGGTTCCAAGACCCTGCGTAGCCTGGCCACATCTGCCAGAACGGCTCGGGCCCACGCCAGTCTTCTCATGTTCGAGGACCTGCCGACTTGCAGCAGAAGGAGGACCTCCGCTGGCGTCAGCATCCGCCGTAGCAGCACGCCGCACTCCGCTTCCAGAAAGTACAGGAGAATGGCCATGGTGTGCGCTCCGGACTAAACGCTCCTGATGATCCTATGGCTGCAGCTGCTTCTGTATGATGCTCAGATGCCGGTTGCGACCACGATTCTTGTTTCTGCCAGCGCGGACGGCGATGTTGAAGTCTGCTACCTCTCCACTTTCCCACGGTCCTATCTCACAGTCTACGAATCTGTACGGACAGCTGCCCTGTGACGGGTTCTGCCGTGGTCGGCTGGGATGTTATCAGGATGATGGGCGCTGCGTGTACTCGAATGTCGCACAGCGTCTGTTGCGCTGACGACGTCGCGGCTGGGCCCGGCACCGTCGGATTTCCGACGCCGGTCGAGGCGTGTGGGTCTGCTGGCTCCGCTTCTACTCGCCATTCGTAGATAAACTCATACCAGAGTCGACAAGGGAAACGATGCCGGAGGCAGCGGCGCTGCATGCTGGTTTGCCAGTCCTGCAGTGCTTCGGGCCCCCAGCGACGAGACAGGGCGCTTTGCACGAATTCTGCTAGCTCGAGATTCAGTTGCGTCTCGCCTGGGTACGGTCTCTTGTGCATGATCGTGCTGGTGCCTGCAATCCGGCTTTAGGGACTGCACTGAGCGGCTGACCGGTGTCGAGAGTCGTTTCTGCGGCATCCGTCGTGCCGTTGTATTCGGTGCCGTTATGACGGCCTTCCAACGTCCATGGTAGCGGCGACTCTGTATCTGGGCGTGTCGTTCGCGTGGAGAGTAGGTCGCTGCTGCCTTGCATTCAGCTATCGTAGCATTAATTACACGGCATGAGATTGTCTACTCGAAGTAAATACTGGCTTCGGTCGGACGAGGCGGCGACGGTATCCTCCTTGATTCTCGAAGTGATCCTGTCCGGCGGTGCGCCGGCCGCCGGGTCCTGCAGTGTCTGCAGGGCTTCCGTCTGTTGCTTGAGGTAAGCACATCCGTTCCGAGCATGCCGCGTCCCCTCCTCGTCGGCGTTGTCGTGGTCCTGACTGCAACGTCACAGTATATCGCGCAAACGTGGCTGCGTGTTCGAGTCTGGGCTCCTGCACGTCCGCCCAGGCCTGTCTGCCCGAGAAAACCAACATGGCTCGTTGGCAGCTGCTCGGGCCCTGGGTGGCAGAACCAGGCGACTCCTTGCGGCGATGCTATGTGATGCGGCACTCATGTTTCGTGCTTGCATGATCTATCCGTGAGGGTCCTAGTGGCATGGCTGTCTTTCTGCGCGGGCCGCATTGGTCTTTCCTGAAACAGGCTTCAATAGGTCCCCTCGCCATTCCGACGAGTCCTGTGCCGTGAGGCTGCTCCACCTCACTCCTTGTTCCTGTCGTCATGCTCGTCCGTCCGGTCTCCTGCCCCGAGCGAAGGCTCTTCTTGGTCCACCATGCCGGATGTCAGCGGCAACGGGCTGGCTTCGGCTCGGAGCTCCGTCGGCATGTCTTCGCATGCCTTCGTGTCATGCGCTTGCTCCAAAGTTCTTTTCTGCGCCCCCGACCGACGCGCTTTGCCAGTTGGTCCGGTGCGAAACACCGCCCACGGCGATGTGGCTGGCAGCCGATAGTAGTCGATGCTTGGCTCGAGCTGCGTCACATCTTGCAGAGTCAGGGCGTACGTTTTCTTGTAGTTGGGCATTTCTCCCAAGTGCCTCTGCTGCGCTCTTGTGGCTTGGAAGTCTGCCTCCGTGATGATGCTGCAGTTGACGATGTTGGCTGCTCCGTGAATTTGGCCATTGCAGCCCAACCAAGTTCTCCCCAACGCAGCCGGCGCACCGCGGATCTCCAGAGTCTTTAGACGGTTCATGACGAGCTGCAACCAAGCTTCCTTCATGACCATGATTCTGTCTCCCTCCTCAGGCACAGGACCTTCGCGTCGAGAGCATATAGCGCCGTTGCCTGGCAGGTCGCCGGTCCTCTCTCCTTCTTCGCGTACCTTGCATCCAATTTGGTGTGTTGAACCCCGGTTCTCTGATGTGAGCCTTGGTTCCTTGGCACCGTTTCGTCTGAGTGTTTGCCTTCTGCCTACACAAGAATCAGGCCGACCTAACGTCTGCGGCGAGTCCTGACCGAGGGCGATCGATTATGTGTAGCCCGCTTACCTGCCTGGACCTCGCGCCCGTCGTCGGCCAGGCCCGATGGTGTGTCTCTTGGGCACGTGTCAGGAACCGTGGCTTCCGCGACCTCATCCTGGCGCCGGGGATGTGAGCTTGTCGTAAACAGGAAACGTTCGTCTAAGGTCCCCGTCCTGGTCCACGACAGTCGGCAACGGGATCTCCTCCGCGCTGTGTGCTGCTCTCTTGAATGCGTCAGCGAGGCTGTTGGCGGCGCTCGGAGAGGGGGTCGAGCCGTTGGCGTTATGCATGCTGTCGGCACCACGGCAGTTGGGGCTGGAGGGCTCAGGTCCTGTTACCTTGGCTCGAGGTCTCGGGATGCTGCGCGCACTGAGTGTTCCTTGGTCACGGCTTCACTCTGCATTCCCTTTCGGGCAACGCTATGGCTCACGCCGCCATGCCTTCTTTTCGCTGTCGGTCGCGGACTGGTCTCTCCTTCTGTCTGCCGAAGGGCGGGCTCTGTGCAGTGCGCCACGCCGCACGTTGCAAGGAAGGCCTGTACAGGGAGCCTCAGCGAGGATCTTCAGGAGCTCGTCTCTCCGAGCTCCACCGATGGTAGGCTGCCGATCCAAGACACCATCTCGTCGTTGAGGGTCTGGGTGGAGTCGATGAGGTACACGGGTACGTGGAGCAGGATTTGCTCGAAGAGCGACGTCAATCTGTCTCTGCCTTGGTCGTCGTTGTGAACCTCCAGAAATCGCACGTAGTCGCGATTGCCGTCCGGCTGTGCTATGTGTCCACCGGAGATGTTGGCCGCATCGAAGAGTTCGCGGTACGGGTAGATGCCTCCGAAAATGCTGACTGTGTAAATGGCCTTCGCGTTGTCGTCGGCTTCGGTGTCCATATTCGTCTCCTCTGCCTGTCCCGAATCCTGGCTGTTGGTCGTCTTGACCGCAGACTGACGAAGCTCGACCTGGCACAAAACGTGGCGGCGTCCTCTTGGAGGCAACGCTGCGAAGGCTTTCGGGCCGTGTAGCGGATAGTGACTCGACTTCCAGGGCTGAGGCACCGTGTCCACCGCGCCGTCTGGACTTGCGATGTGCAGGGGGGGCAGTTGCAGCAAGTGTCCCTTGGTGACCTTGTGGCTCAGCACCAGTTGGACGAAGTCCAATGCAGCTGAGACCGAAGTTGAGTACAGAACGACCTGCCAAGCTTCCAGCCCTGTCCCGTCCGGGTCCAGCGGACCATTCTGGGGCGGCGCCCCGTTCAGGAGTCGCACCTGGAGGATCGACTCCAGTTGTTGCAGATCCCGGACGTTGGGATTGGGATGTTTCTGCACCGCTTCTCTGGCAACTGCCAGCACCTGGTACCCGAAAGAATTCCGTCCGGTGTGACAGATCTGGAGCTGCCACAGGGGAGTGTCTCGATCCGCACCTTCGAACACGGTGAAGGCGCTCCCCCACCTTCTTACTACTGCCGTCAGCTCGTTGCCTTCTGCATCGCCTGTGCCGTTGCTCCGGGACGGCGTGATGTCGATCGCGGAGAAGCGCCTTTTCTTCTGCAGCTGCATGTCCTGAGAGAGAGCCATGGCTGTTGGTATCGCACGGGGCTTCGCGGCTGCGGCTGGCTAGGGCTGGTGCCGTAGCACAGTTGATGATCTTAGCACTGCGGTCGGTTGCGTGCAGATGATTTGACATGCGTTTGTTGTGCATGCATCCTCACAGCTCGTCGGACTGTGGATTTCTTAGTCTTAGTCCACGCGACACGACAGTGGCCGTGCACCACCTTTTCTTCTAGCCGCTGTTGTCGCGCTGGTATGCGCTGCTTCAGATGGCTATGGCACGTCGGACTCGAATTGTCTCACAGTAGTAGTCGCGAAACTGCAGGATGATGTCGTGACCCTTCTTCTTGGGGTGCGTGCCGACGTAGGCGCCGTCTTTACCTACGCTGCGCTTGGGTGTGTGGGGGGGTGGGAAGAGGATGTCGAACTCGTCGCTCATGGACATGTGCTGTTGGGGTGCAGCCAAGACTCCGTACAGATACAACTGGGTGTTTATGTATCCCGGTCCCATGATGTTGAATCGTGGCGTGATCCTGGTGAAGGAGCCGATGCGCTTGAGATACCAACCTCCATGGGCATTGGTGCTCGTGCCGTAGCGGGTCGTAAAGATACAGTAGGGCGATGCTCTCGCTTGCCTGGGCACCGAGTGCCACTACTGTTTACTTCCTTCTATGTATTCGCACGTGGGTGTACAGGGATGTATACGTTATACTGGGCTGTGAGCGGGGTCCGTTTCAGAGCTACGATGCTGTTGTGCGGCCCTGGGGCTGCTCGTCGCTGACCGCAATGCAGAGACAGAGGGTCAGCCGTTCCCCGTGGCGCGCAATCCTTCCGCTTGGCCGGATGTGCTTGTACTCGTAGGCCCAGAACATCATTGTGATGGCGATCGTCATATCGGGTCTACGTGAACTGTCAGTGACTTCTCTTGATCAGACGGCTCACGGGGTGTATCGGGACGATGGTTGGATTGAGACAGAAGGGCCTCAGAGTAGGTGAAACCTGGAGCTCTTGGGGGTCCAGAGGACGTGAAACCTGGAACTCTGGAAGGGGCTCAGAACAGGTGAAACCTAGAGCTCTTGACGGAGTAGGTGAAGCTTGAAACTATTGAGGAGGCCCAAAGTAAGTGAAATCGGGGTAGGGATTTTTCGTTATCGGGCGGGGCTGCTAGCAGGTTGCCTAGAAGTAACACCTCGTGTGGCAGAAAGAGGTCGGGCTCGAGTCGTGCACAGCGGAGCACGGTGCCTTTTGTCTGTATTTCACGAGCATCGTTCTGAGGCAAGCTTCATCTACTGTACAGGCGAGACGGTGCGCTTCAGCCCTGGTGCTCGGAGACACTGCTCCCTCTTGAGCTCATGCAGCGTGGCACTAAGTTGTCGGCAAGGCAGTGAACGCGCAGTCCTGGTGCGTTAGGCCGGGTGTACTTGACTGCGGGCGAGCTGCTACAGCGTGTCTGCACTGTGCCGAGACTAACGGGTCCTCCGACACTTTGAATCTTTGCTCCAGCTCCGGTCTCCTGTGCAGATGATTCGAAGTTGTGTGACAGCTATGACCTTCTCTGCTGCACGTAGATGCACATTCCTACTAAGCCCACCTCGCACGTGGTGGAATCAGGAGCTAGCCGATCGTGGGCGTTTCCTTCGCTCGGGTGCTAGCAGCGTTCTGTTCTCGGCATCGGACGACTCCATCGCGGCTGGTGGTAGACTGAATGGCGACGGTTCTCGAGGCCTTTGCCGTCGCATTGTTGAAGCAACGATGTCGTCCTTGAGTTGCCATAGTGCCGTGACGAGGACTCCTCCCAGCTCTGGTTCGAGGTGCGAGGCCAGACATGTCAACCACTCGGCGTCTTCCTCGTTAAGCTGCATGTGTCGCGAAAGCTGCCTGATGCCAGTCGTGGTGTCTGCCGGCATACGAGTCAGCCTCAGCGGCTGCTCTATTCCGAAGCGGACCGCCACCTGGCGGGCCTCGTTGATGAAGCTCACGACGACTTCCTGATACAGGTCGGGCTCGAGGTGTGCTGCCATCGCTGCGAAGGCAGCTTCCCGGGGCGAATGGGGGGCGTAGGTCTGGTCCGAGCAGGTTCTGCGAGACGGGTGAGAGTGGGACACATGTTCTCAGATGCCAGAACAGGTTTGAGCGCATGTGCGCATGCGTGGCGGCGCTCTCGTTTTCTGCGACAACGACCCTTTCACGTTTGGGTGATACTTTCGGAACGCTTCCGCTTGGATTTGCATCGGCGTGTTCTCGCCTCTGGCGGTAGACGGGCTAGGCTCATGCAGTGTTCACGTCGAAGCCATACTACAGATCCACGGGCCGCCCATGTTGGTATCTGCGCAGATACCGCTTCTCCTACTTTCTGAGACGTGCCATGATGCCTGCCTCGAAGGGCTCTGGATGTACATGGACGTCTTGGAGTACCCAGCCGTAGGTCCGCTCGGCTTCGTAGTTTAATGCCTCCGGACAGGCACGGGCGTTCTGCGCATGGGGCAAAGCATGACCTGCCTGCAGGACATCAGCGTGGGTGCCCTGTTCCTCGATGGTGAGTAGACGAGATTGTGCGAGGACGGCGGTACCCCTGATGAGCTTGGTGCCTGTCTCCATCAAGCTGATCCTGCACGCACTAAGGGACGGCGGGCACGGCTTGCTCCGAAGTTCCATCGTCTTTGTACCTGCGAGCTGTCGTGTGAATACGGCTAGAGCCACTACATCGTGTGCGGCAACTTTCGAGTTGGCGCCTGAGAGTATTTGCCGCAACCACGATGGACGAATCTTCAGTGCATGCGTTGTCGCGTCGAAGGCCTGGCTAATCCGAGCTTCGTCGTCGCGCCAGCCTCAGATGCTTGTTTGCAGACTGTTGCAAGTGGTCTACTGGAGGCATGCCGTAGGCTCGGAGCTGAGCAACCTGTCGTGCTTGTTGATGCAGTCTCGGCGAGTCTTTCCATCGCCTCACGATAGCTGATACAAATGGTGCATCGTCTGTCGGGGGCTCGTCACGATAAGATTCAGGAGCTGACAACCCGCCGTTCGTCCTGCTTGTACGTATTGCTTCTGTGGCTGCTAGTGTCAGCGCGTGCTGCGACTGCTGTCTCCGTGGTGTGTGTTCGCTGAATATGCTACTCACAATCTTGCACCGATGTTGTTATCCTGGCGATTCTACTACGTCAGTTCTACTTGGCAGCACCATGGCTGCTTCAATAAAGCTTCTTGCAAGAGCCGGCCTACACCAAGATGTCATGCAGTGATACCATGCGGCTTGCTTCGGCGACAGGTAAATGTGGCGGTCCCCTTTCCCATTTTCGTCATCGCAGACCTTACCCGCAACGTCAGATGCGGCTCAGTGTGAAACGCGGCCCGAGACCCCTATTGTGATAAAGCCGGATCAAGGCGGTTCTCTCCTGGTCAAGTAGCGGACGCAAAGGATCGTCCTGCAACGTGGTGCTGTCGGTGCAGGCTCTTGGGCTTCGTGGTTCGGTTTTCGTAGCTTCGTCTGGGATCCTGCTTCCCCTGCCTTCGAGACCCGCCGGTGGCCGATTGTGCAGAAGGTGTCCCGCGTCAACTGGAGCCTCGTTGTCCTCGACCACATCACCTGTGCAGGAGGGACACTCGTGGTTTACTCGGCTCGGCGAACAAACTTTGCCTTGACGTGCTCCACCGTGGCGTCGGCAGGAACGTCGAAGACCAGTGGCACGCAGAATTCGGACAATACCAGAACGCGGATACCTGGCAGGGGCCGTGGATGCGTACTTGAACGTATTGGGTTGCCCTCGTGTCTCTGTGCAGCCGGCCTCCTCCTAGGGTCAACGTCG